CTCTGAGTTCTGGGTGGCACCACAGCCAGCTCTGGCCCCTCGGCTGACATCCAGCCACCCTCAGTGTTGTTCAGAGTCCCCCAGGGTCCAGGAGAGGCCATACTTAACATGGCCACACCAGTTGGGAATTCCATTTTTGGTGTCAGGAGTTGGGAGATGCTGGAAACCACAAAGAGATATTTATAGCTGTGGGTTTCCTGGTATGAGTCCAAGCCAGGAAGTAATAGCAGCAGGAAGGAAGTCTCCTTCGTTTAGCTGTCCCTAATTTAGGAGGGCCCGTAACTCAGGAGAAAGTCACTCCTCAATTCAGCTGAGTTAGAAGTGATCCCTTCTACTGGGGATTCATAAGACAGATGCTCAGGATGGACCTTGCTTTACAGAACAGATGTGCTTCTAGAATGTGGATGAGGTGCAGATTTTTGAAGCAGAATCTTTAAAATGCAATCTGAGAGTTTCACTGAAGTATCTTTGAGTGAATTGTAATTTTCATTTATTGAATTTTCTTAAGGCATGGACTTTTATATTTAGAGATAAACAGAATTCAATTTAGGGATCAATGCTTTACTAAACTAAGAATTTGGGAAATTAATTATTCTGCCAATAGGCTGGATGCAGCTTCTGGTTCTAGCTGGGAGATTTTATATTAAAATACTGTTATATCCTTATTGCCCTCATAGAAGGAGTGGCTGTTCTCTGAATGTTTTCCTTCATTGGTGGATACACCTGTGTCTACCATGATCCTCACTTTATGCATGAGGAACCCAAGGCATTGAGACACTGAATAACTCAGAGAGCATCTGGACTGGTATAGTAGGAAGAAATTGGAGAAGCTGTAACAATTGAGGATTTTGGGGGGCAAGATGTAGCCCTCATAAAAGGGACTGTCAGAAAACTAAGGAAAAGATCAATACCCTGCCATGTGGGCACAGCTTTGGGGTAGGACAAAAATTCCAGAGGGAATGAGCACTGGGCAGAAATAGGAGAGGAGACTTGTCCTTCAAGATAACAGAATGACAAATCAGGGGCGATTTAAAATCAGTAGGGAGAGAATGGATCTTTCCATAAGGCTTGAGAGCAATTAAAAAAATTTTAAGTGAGATCCTTACCACTCACCATTCACCAAGATAAATTCCAGATGGATTAACATAAATATCTATAGGTATGAAAATATAGGAGAATGTGGTAATGGTGCTGGCTTTCTCAAAGTAGACACAGGGAGCTAAACCCAAAAAGGAAAAGAAAGGTTAATGAATTTGACTATGTCAAATATCAAAATGTATGACAAAAAATAGCTTTTTAAAATAATTGCCAGAGCTTGGAAGCAACCAAGGTGTCGATAGGTGAATGGATAAACTTTGGTCCATCCATGAAATGGGATATTTTCCAGCAATGAAAAGAAATGAGCTCTCAAGCCATGAAAAGACATGAAGGAAACTTAAATGCATATTGCTCAGTGAAATAAGCTAATCCAAAAAGGCTGCATACTATATGATTCTAACCACATGACATTCCGAAAAAGGCAAAATTATGGAGACAATAGAGAGATTAGGGGTTGCCAGGGGTTTGGGAAGGGTGAGGAAAGAGAGAGGAACAGATAAAGCCCAGGAGAAGTTTAGGGCCATGAAGCAATTCCAGGTGGTACTGCAATGGTAGATCCTTGTCACTGTACATCCGTCAAAACCCACAGAATGGACAGCACAAAGAATGAACTCTACTGTAAACTACCGTGTTTCCCCGAAAATAAGACCGACCTACAAATAATCCTACAAATGCAGGATTTCCATGCATTTGTTAAATATAACCCCTACCCTGATAATAAGACCTAGTAATGGGTGTGGCTATGCAGCATACCTGCATAGCCATGCCATGCATTTCGGAGAGGAGCGGTAAGGAAGACTGGAATACCTTTTATCTGCCACAGCTCCTTTCTCCGAGTCGTTAGCACTCATGCGGGTGTGTGTGTGGTAACTGGGGTGGCAGGCATCCTATTGCGCACATGCAAATGGCTAGGGGAAAGGAGTTCATGCATCACTAGTGCCAGCCCGCACCAACAAGGTTGGCTCCCCCTGTCAGGTTCCAGAAGAAGATGACTTAACTGTATTTGAATAAATGTAGATTGTTGTATGATACTTAATAAAAAAAAAGACATCCCCTTGAAAATAAACCCTAGTGTGCCTTCTTGAGGAAAAATAAATATAAGACAGTGTCTTATTTTCAGGGAAACATAGTACGAGCTTTAGTGAATAACAGTGTATCAACACTGGTTCATCAGTTGTTAACAAATTACCACACTAATGCAAAATGTTAGTAACAGGCAGGTGGCGCCTGTGGCTAAGTGAGTAGGGCACCAGCCCTATATACCGAGGGTGGTGGGTTCAAACCCAGCCCTAGCCAAAATGCAACAAAAAATAGCTGGGCATTATGGTGGACTCCTGTAGTCCCAGCTACTTGGGAGGCTGAGGCAAGAGAATCGCCTAAACCCCAAAACGGGAGGTTGCTGTGACGCCATGGTACTCTACCAAGGGTGACGGAGTGAGACTCTGTCTCTAAAAAAAAAAAAAAAAGAAAAGAAAAATGTTAATAACAGGTGAAACTTCGGGGGCAAGCAGAGGGGATTATGAGAACTCAGTACTTTTCCACTCAATTTTTCCACAAACCTCTAAAAAGACAAAGTTGATTATTTTTTTAAAAGATGCAGTCTATGTAACAGATAGGATTAGTATCCAGAATACACAAAGAATTCCTACCAATTCATAAGGAAAAAGATTTTTTAAAAAAGAAAATAAAGGATACAGACAGGCACATTCATAGAAGAAGAATTAGAAATGATTAATAAACACAAAAAGTACTTAGGCTCACTAGTAAGGAGGGAAATGCAAAACTCAAAACAATGATATAGTGTTGTTTTCTTACCAGGCCATGGGCAAAAATTTTAATGTTTTCTAACACCAAGTATTGGGAGGATTTGGGTGAGTACTTAAGGGAGCTCCCAAGGAGCTTCAGCCCCTGTGGTGGTCACCCTCCTTCCCTGCGTCTCCTGACCCAGGAACTCCCACTAACCCGGAAGAATAGACCATGTGTTGACCCTCGACCAGAGACACAAAAAACAACCTTGGTGTCTTCCATCTCATTCCGGCCTGGGGCAAGTGCTTGGATGGGGACACTTGGAAGTATACCCCCAGCCTGCTGGCCCCAGCTCACGAGAGCCAGCCGTGTGTACCTCTTCTCTGCACTGCCTTCCGTGACATCACACAGGTAGCTCCAACTCAGCCATGGTGAGAGTATTTACACTGTGGAAATTGGCAGATGCTATGAATTAGGGTGATTTTTCTTTTTTTAATCCAGAGAACCAGTTGTTAAGCATTTACCTTCGCACATGGGTACCCAGGATGACCCACCCCAGCCGAGGCTGGGTTCTACGACTCAGAGCCTCACTCTTTCTTTGTTCTTGTCTCTCCTTATCCTCCTCCTTGGCTTCATCATTCCCCTTGTCTCCTCTTTATAAATAGGGAAAGGGTGACTAGAGCAGTGAGTGGGGACAGAGGGGAAGATGCATCCTAGGCAGCATGTGAAGAACCCTGCTTTAAGAGTATTGGACCTGTACACAGGCACAGCTAACCCCTCCACTCCCTGTGTGACCTGGTACAGAATCCCTCATCTGCAAAATGGGAATAATCACAGTCAGGGCAACCACATATAGCCTGAACTCCAGGTTGCAGCATGCATGTAGACTATTTTGTGAATGGAGATGTACAGTGGGCAACCTCAACAATGGTACATGGTGCTGATCATCATACTTATTTCAGAGGGTCATTAAAAGAAATAATAATGCAGTTGAACGAGCCTGACCGAGTGCATGGCATATAGTAGGTGCACACATGGTATTGGTTTTTTTTCTTCCTTCTGACCCCTACCCCTTCCCTCCTCGTCAGTACTGTGCAACTCCTTCTAAAGGTTGGGTCCATGCTTATTAGCCATACACTGTGGCCCCCACAGGGGTTCCGGATGCCACAGCCCATACACCCCTCCTCATAGAGAAGTGCCCTTGGTTTGTAATAATCCCAATTCTGCTGGGTACCCTGCCTGCTGGGCCCCAGACCCCAAGGTTGCCTTTCCTCCTTTCATTAACCCTGCACTATACCTGTCATAATCCTCATCTTTGAGTTAAAAGATTTGTGGCTCACAGAAGTGAAGTACCTAGTGTAGGAGAGGGGGAAGGTGTGGTGGAAGAGGATTCCTGTCCAGATACATTGGGATCAGAGTTCTCTAACTCTGGGTTTGTGAGCCACAGAAAAGGCATTTTATCATACAATCATTGCGCACACACATATGTGGATAAAAGTGGAAAGTTTCACAAAATATTTCCTCCTCCTACATTTGATGGTACCAGATATTTCCATCCCCTGTTCCATTTTTTTTTTTTTTCTTGATGCTGGTTGCACTAAAAATCCATGAAGTTGATTTCATGACCCACTAATCTAATGAGTCAAGACCTGCTTTGAAAAACACTTTCTAGGCTGCTTCTCTCAAATGGCTGTCTAATACAGGGGTGAGAAAACTGCGACTCCCCGGCTAAACCGGTCTGCTTTGGTCAATGACGTTTTATCGGAGCATAGCCGTGCTCTTTCACAGGTGTTGACTGTGGCTCCTTTTGTGCTACAGCAGCAGACCTGAGTAGTTGCACAAAGACTGTATGGCTCATAGGACCTAAAATATTTACTTATCTGGCCCTTTAGAGAAAAAGTTTGCTGATGCACACACAGATCTGACTCTGTGTCTCCTTTGCTCACACTCCTTCAGGGCTTGCCTTTGGCCTTTGGCCCAGACTCAAGCTCCTGGCTTAGAAAACCAATCCCCTCTGGCTGTGCACACTCAGTATCTCTAGGGGCCTGTGTCCTCCCCCAGGACTGACAGGTAGCCAGGCAGCTGAGAGGCCTGCGGGGTGGGTGGACAAGGCCCCTCCTTGCTTCCTGACACTTGTTCTGCTCCCTGCCCTGCAGGCCTCCTGGGAATGGTGGCCCACATGATGTACACGCAGGTGTTCCAGGTCACCGTGAGCCTCGGCCCTGAAGACTGGAGACCCCATTCCTGGGACTACGGGTGGTCTTTCTGGTAAGTGGCTTTTGACCTTCAAGGCCAGAGCACCTTCAGACAGTAGAGCCTCCAGACACTCTTTACTTATGACATCCATAGCTCAGCCCCACTGGGGAGGGGAAAGAAGGCAGGTTGAGGCATTTTAAGACCCTAGAATGGGGATTGGCAAACTGCTGCCTGCTGGGCAAATCTGGCCCAATACTTGTTTATATGCAACCCTCAAGCTAAGAATGGTTTTTACATTTTCAAATGCTTGAAAACAAATCAAAAGAAGCATACGATTTTGTGACATGGGGAAATTATACGAAATTCAAATTTCAGTGTTCATAAATAAAGTTTTCTTGGAACACAGCTACGCACATTGTTTGCGTATTATCTACGGCTGCTTTCACACTACAACCGCAGCCGGAGCAGTGGCAACAGAGCCTGAACGGCCCACAGAGCCGAAAATATTTACTTTCTGGTCCTTTGCCGACCCCAGCCTTAGAGACCTGCTCTGGAAGGTAGAAACTGGCAAGACCTGAGTCCGGTGAGCCGTAGGGAACTCTGGGTGGCCCAAGAGGGTAGGAGGACCCTGGTGAGGAGCCCTGAACACAGGGGAGGGGTCAGCACCACAGAGCAGGGTGTGCACAAGAGAGGCAGAATTAGTCAGGATTTCCCTGCGTAATAGAATCCCCAGCTTAAATAAACAAAGAGAGTTTATTAGTTCATGTAACTGAGAAGTCCAGGTGGGGAACTCTCTGTTGTAGCAGAAAAATCCACCCACATCAGTCTAAGCAAAGAGATACACTGGTTCATGCAAAGGAAAACTGTAGCCCGATGTGGACTTCAGGGTCTGTTTGATCCAGAGTGGCTGACATCATCAGGGCTGAGTTCTTTTCCTCTGTGATCCTCTGAGCACAGCCCCTCCACATTTTAACCCTGTTCCTGGGCCAGCTTCCCTCTTAAGGGTCAGAAAGCTCCTTGTGAGGCTGGTGTCTCCCCCTTCACACATACAGACTAAATCTCTAAGCTTCCTTCTGGTGGGCTTTGGTCATTTTCTTTCTCTTTAATCATCACTGAAGCTTATTAATGCAGCTCAACCAAGCCCACCTTTAAGGATAGGAATGAATCTAAAATCCTCAAACGGCAAGTGAATAGAGCAGATGTTGGGTGAGCTACCATAAGCTCTGTTTCAGGCACTGCTGGACCCAGGCCATCAGGTGATTTCATCAGGAATTCAGTCATTCTCTCCTCTTTTCCTGTCTCTGTTCCTTTTGCATTGATGTTGGCTTCATTCTCAAGCAGCTTTTCTCTAAGTCCTAGCAAAAATTGTCCCACCCCCAGTTCCAGGCTTACATCTTACAAATGTAGCAATACCAGTAGAGAGATGGGGTTTCTTTCCCATATTTCAAGCTAAAATTCTGGTTATGACTTTCACTGGTTTAGCTTATGTCATGTGACTATCACTGAACCAATGATTCAGACCCTGGGAAGACTGGAATGCTCCAATTGTCCTGGCCTGGGTTATGCGGTCCGGAGAGTGGGCATGGCCCCACTCAAACCCTGGACAGAGAAGGAGGAGCAATCTCCTGATGGAAAATTGGTGGGGGTGACAGAGTGGGTTACTATCAGAAGAGAGAATGGGGTGGGCACAGTGACTCATGCCTGTAACTCCAACAGTCAATACTCAGAAGTAGGAGTTCCCCTCCTTTGAGCTCTTCTCTAGTTCAGGGAAACTACCTTCCTCTGTTGCCCTCTAGCCCAGACAACAGAGTGAGGCCCTGTCTCTTAAAAGAAAAAAAGAAGGGAAAAACAGGGAAAATAATGGCAACAGCGGTCCACTACACAGGGTAGCAGGTCTGGGCCTGGTGGTTGGGGACCATTTGTCTATTCGGTCCTTTAACATATACTCACTGAGCACCCACTCCAGAACAGCGATTCTTTTGGGTACAGGGGTAGGGAAGTGGCCAAGACCATGTTGTAACAAAATCAAGACTAACAAATAAGTTGTATCTGAGCCGTGCTCTGATATTGGGGTGCATGTCAGAATGCGGGAGTTTATAGACAGCTATGGGAACACCGAGGAAGGGCCGCTGACTCAGCTTTGGGGCAAGGAGGATCCCCAGGAAGAATTGTCAGGCAAAGTTGGAGAGGGTGGAATAAGATAGTGTGTGCTAGCTAGAGAGAACAGTAGACGTAAGGACCTGGAGGCAAGAGTCTCTCTGGGGAAGGCTGGTCAGAATGGAGCAGAGGACTATGATTAAGAAGGACCCTATTCCAGACCAGTAGGACCTCTGGCTGCATCTCTGCCACTCCCCTCTCTCTGCTGGACTCTATCCTCTTAGAGGCAAGGGCATTCGCCTTAAAGGAAGCTTGACCTTGGCTTGGCACCTGTAGCTCAAGTGGCTAAGGCACCAGTCACATACACCAGAGCTGGCAGGTTCGAATCCAGCCTGGGCCTGCCAAATGACAATGACAACTACAAAAAAATAGCCAGGTGTGTGGCAGACGCCTATAATCCCAGCTACTTGGGAGGCTGAGGCAAGAGAATTTTGTAAGCCCAGGAGTTGGAGGTTGCTGTGAGCTGTGATGCTACGGCCCTCTACCCAGGGCTACAGCTTAAGGCTCTGTCTCAAAAAAAAAAAAAGAGGCTGAGGTGGGAGGAACCCTTGAGTCCTCTAATTAGAGACCAGCCTGGGCAACATAGCAAGACCCTGAAAAAAAAAAAAAAAAAATAAACCCTAAATAAATAAATAAAATTAAAATATTACATTTTCCAGGAATTTGAGAAAATGTTATACTCAATATCCTTTCTGAAAAATACACTGACAGTTTGTAACTAAATTTGATTGAAAGAATTAGCACCTTGTTAATAAATGATTAACTTCTGGGGCAGTGCC